TTTGTTCGATTCCGAGAAGATTTGATTTGCGATCAACTGTCCGGGCCAGCCAGATCAACATAAATTTTAAGCAGTAAGTTTTCTTCATCAAACCTTTAGATCCGCTGCGCATAGGTTTATGTTGAATGTTTGCCTATGATTTGTGCATATCGAGATCCTCGTGGGTTCCAACAGTTTGATCCTCTCTCTCCCCGATTTGAATTTCCATCAACTCTCCGTGTGGCTCGAGGTCCCCTCCCCTTGGCCTTTTTTCGCTCGACATTGGTTTTTTTCCTTCTTTGACCTCCGCTCGTTGATTGGTTTTTACGGCTATCTGATAGCAGGTTCTCGATAATTTTTTATCTCCTCGAGCCTCCCCGACTCGATCCCCCACGGGGAACTTCAGTTTCATGTGATAAGTTGATACCACCGCCTGGAACGCGTTTAACGCAGGCCTCCAAAGGATCACATTATAGGCTGGTTCGACATCGACTACCACAAATCTCACCATTTTGACTTTTCGTAGGTCTCCTTCTCCAAGGACGACTGCGAGCATGGTTTCTCCCAAGAGTGCGACTTCTGAGCCATTGAATCGATAGAGTGATGTATGCAAAGGTGTCAATTCAAGATCAAGCTCCATTCTCCTGAGGCAATCATAAAAGATCACGTTTACCGAACTCCCGGTGTCGACAAACACCCTCTGCACCTCATAACCCGATACCTGTGCAGTTATCATTAGGGCATCAATATGCAGTCTCTCGACCTCGCCTATATATGCTGGCGCAAAATTCATCACCGGGCCATTCTCCTCGACCTGCTGCACTTCGGCTTTTCCATGGCGGCCTCGAGCGTATGCCTTTCTGGCTCGATTCGAATCTCCATCCGTTGGTCCTCCGAATATCATATGAATTACCCCTCTTTTCTGAAGAAGCTCCTCCTTTTCGGGTGTCCTCGCCCTCTTGCAAGGGCTCTTACTTCTCTCCCTTCGCCGACTGGTTCTCTCACGATCTTTATAAATGAACTCCTTCAGATGGCCTGCTTTGATCAGTCTCTTGATCTCGTCCTTGAGGTGCCGGCATTCTTCAGTGTTGTGCCCATAATCCTTGTGGAATCGACAATACAGATTGCTCTTGGGCTGTGTCGGTCCATCCTTTCTCGTCCGAGGCCATCTGACAACATTTTCGCGGATCTCCTTCTCCATTACCTCTAATGTTCTCGCATACGGAACCGACAAGGGGGTATATTGAGTCGATTTCCATCCATTCGAATTGCCCCTCTCTCTCCGCTCTCGTGGATCCCTTCCTCTCTGCCGTGGAGCTCGGCCTTTTGTCCTTCTTCTCTTCTCGAGGGTCGAGGAGGGTTTTCACCTTTGCCGCTTGCAAGAAATCGACTTCTGCTTCCTATACATTCATATATTTGTCACACCTCCCCAGGACCTCGTGAAGGTCCTCCCAGGTCGTTTTTCCAGGGAATTCTTGCACAGCCCTGGGAGCAATCCTCTAATTAGTCCACCCGACTTAATCTCCTTAGTGGCTGAAGGTAAGTCGACACATGCCCTCGTGTATCTCGCCACATAATCCCGCAACGTTTCTCCTTCCTTCTGTTGCATACCTATCAGAGTAAGGTAAGACTTTTCCTGGGCCTTCACGCTTGCAAATTGGTTCAGAAAACTTGAGTTGAACCCGTCAAAGTCCCTGATGGCTTCCGGGGGCAGTTGATGGAACCAATCTTCTGCAGATCCCCTCAGAGTCGTCAGGAACGCTCGACATTGAACATGGTCATTGTACCGGTGCAAGACCGCCATATTCTCAAAACTCCTCAGGTGTCGAGAAGGGTCAGTCAACCCGTCGTACCAGATGTTGAGCTCTCTAAACCCCTGGGGTAAGTCGGCGTCTAGGATGTGCTGTGAAAATGGATGTCCTCTCGAGCTTCCCATTTTTCTCCCCTCGACTCGAGCCTGCAAATCTCGCACCTGAGCCAGCAACTGTTCCAGAGTATTGTTTCTTGCTTGTGGATTGACAGTTCTGACAGAGGACTCTTCTTCGTCCACCCTTCCACTCTACCTTTCATGGGACTGCGCTTGTTGCTCGCGCAGGGAGGGGTTGTTCAATCCGAGGCTGCTCGACCCTAGGTTGCTCAACCCTGGGTTGTTCGATTATGGGTTGTTCGACTGGCGTCTACTTGAGTTGGGCCGCCACTGCTTCTGCAATCATCCTTTGCATCTCGCTTCTCGTCATGGTTAGTGTTTGTTCTTCGACTTGGGGTAGTGGCCTTGCTCCCTGCTCAAGTTGTCCGGACTCCCTCCCCAGACTCAGAGATGTTTCGGCCAATTCGTAGCCAACGACTACCTCGCTCGCGCCCTTCTCAAGGCTGGGTCCCCCTTGCGTAAGCATTGGGATTTTTACCCCAGGTGGG